TCGGTGGCGAATCGTTTATGCATATGCTTAAAAATGATGCGAGAGTACAGCGGTCATAAAACATAGGTCGCTAGTTGCCTTCAAAAAAGACTTTTCCCCGTTGCTCTTTTTACCGACTTTAATTGAAGCCTCGTATAACTTGAAGGATCCCTCTCTTCTCGTTGTTGTTCTTTTTCTCCGCTGGCCGCATTACTGTGCGCCCTCGATGGACCACTAGGACTCTATGAAGAAGTTTATGCTTTTATTGCGTAGAGAGATGCAGACCGAGTGTACGCACACCACCGAGTGTACGTACCTCACCGGTACTGGAACCCGGACGATGCATCGTAAAAAGACGATATCCGTGGATTCCACAAACCCCGCAGTGTGTACTTTCTTAGGACGATTCTTGCTACGCAGATATAAAATAAGGATCTCCGCGGCAATAATGGATGTAATTCGTTTCTAATGCTTTAACTTATATTTCGATAAAATTCACCGTCATCTATATATAAAAAAACCGATGACTATATAAACGATATCTAAAATTTTCTTCACCGCAAATTCTTTGGCGAATTTGAAGTCGATCCTTTCTGAATAAAAATTTTATTATACCTAAACTTCTTTTTTATAATTTTTGCAAAAAATCTTTAACGAAATTTTTTCTCCAACGAACGCTGGATTTCACAGCTTTACTGACGTTCAACATTGAACATCTGAGAGGATTGACGTCGTTTGACATGTTTCGAGTTTATATACAACAGCAAAGAACTCCTGGAGACGCTACCCTAAGCTGCATTGCGTGCAGATTGTTAGAACTTCCTTGCTTGCGTTTGATGCTTCTGAAGCACTCTATTGCTTCTTCTTTGATATGGGTACTTCGGATGTTATGTCACATGATAATATTATTATACGATATATGTGTGCTACGCGTTGAACGTTATATAAATACATATATCTCGCATGCATTATCGCAAATATATGATTGGACAAGTTCATCTTTTGCTGGATTTGTTACAATTATTTGAACTCGTCCAAAAAAATATAATTCGTATGTAAGATCACTGGATTATGATTCATATTCACGTGAATAAACTTTCAACTGCGCCTCTGGCTGTGTATCCTCCGTATTTTGTCGTGTGTGACTCGAATTATTTCTGTGCACATATAAAACAGAGTTACTGAATTGTTAATCAAAATTCTTGAATATCCGAATAAGTTTTATCTCTTTCTCAAGTATTATTGTAGAGAAGGTTTCTACTCATGCGTTTATTATAACATTAGGTTTCTGTATTGCTATGAATCTTGACATACATTCACATTTTACGATTTATGCGTGACATTTTCCATGGATTATAATTTCAATTTTAAACATTATTACATAAATAAAAACTATTTTTGTTAAAATTTTAATGTAAAGTATTACTTTTATTATTATATGGAAATTTTTAATTTTTCAATTATATTTTTGAGCAAATGTTCTCTAATTCTTTTTAACCGAAATGTTTATTTAATAATTTTCCATGAAATTTTGATTTATAAAATCAGTATATTATATTATATTATTACATTATATTATTAATACGATAGCTGTTAACTGTTATACGATTATATTAAACTCGAGAGAACTATTATTCTTTTTTATTAACAGCCACAAAATGGGAAGATAGGAACAATGTCGATTCTCATTTAATATTAAACAAGAATTTACATTTTTTTTCGTGACTTTAGTTACACATAATATAAGATTTAAAGAATTACAAAATATTAAAGAAGTTTGTATTTAATATACGAAAAAAGTAAGAAAGAGCTCAGTTGTAAAAGATTACGAGTGTGCTAGAAGTGTACAATAAATTGTACCGCTTCTTCAGAAGTTCACTCGTAAAAAGTTGCGTGTATATCATAAAAATCTTAAAAGTAAATTTGTATATTAAGATAACAGAACTTTATAATATAATATGTAGAATAAGATTATAAATTTCTGAAAAATAGCATTTATTTGAATTTGATAATAGAATTTTATAGAAATAAAGAAGAATTTCAGAAAACAGGAGAATCTTTTGGTGACATTGAAATTAAAAACTTTATATATATAAGAAGTTTTTAATTTTGATATTACCAAAAGATTCCTCTCTTTTCTGAAATTCTTCTTTATTTCTATAAAACTCTATTAAATATTTCTATAAAACTCTCTCTTTCTATATATAATTTTTATAACGTTAAAAGTATTCTAAAATACTTGATGTGTATTAACAACGTCATATATTCATTTTTCGTATAATAGAATATCCATAATTTTGGATATTTTATTTTATCATTTTAGAAAAACATTTTTTTTATCTCTATGGTATCAATGATATAAGTGTTGTCTTGACAAGACAAGGCGATTGAAAGCAAAGTCCATTCGACTGTTTAAGGTTTCCCGTGAAGAAATGTAGACTTGTCTTTTGGTAAAGTCTTCGAAACTTTACATTATAGTGCACTTTCGTCGGTGGCCTCTTCCACCGACGTCTTTGCGCAAAAGAGTAAAGTTCTTCCGCTGCCTGTGTATAAGGCTAAGGGCAGGAGGGCCTCACTCCTACCTGTGTTTCTTTCACGTTATAGCCTTTCCAGCTAAACTTCCGGGCCATTAATTTACATTAGGACATTTTTCAAGAGCGTGCTAGCTCCTGGCGCCGCGCACCTTAAAATTGGCGAACTCCTCTTTTTAACGGTTCTCCTCTCTTACACAGAAAGAGCCCTCGAGTCGCTTCCCCACACCCCTTGTCGACGTCACGCTTGAATTCTTCACCATTAAACGACGACGCGACGGAAAAACGAAGGGACGAACGGAGCGTATATATGAGATAACTTCAGAATTTCATTTAACGACGACGCGCGCGAGCCAAAGGCGCTGGCAATCATTAAATCACGCTCGTGACGGATCCGTCGTGCACGGCTTAATTGATATATGTATAAAGCGGCCATCGATCACCGGCGTTTTTAACACAATGTGTTTACATAACCGTACAAGTGCTACATATATCAGTTGATAATTTCATTATACACCTAGGTAATTTTGCTTGCGCGAATCCATTGCGTCGACATCGAAACAACGAATACACATCGAACGTCCCTAAATAATTTATTAACTCATAAAACACAAACTGACATTAGAGCGCGAACGTTTATCGCTTATTTTTGAATTTTTTGAACATTAAGATCTTGATCATAAAGTCATTAAATCTTCTGGCATGAGAATTATGTGTATCATATTTGGAATTTTATTAACAGTTTGCGCTATTAATGCGAGATACGATACATGCAAGATACGTACTGTGTCACTGAAAAATCTATTTATAAAGTGCTGATCGATACGAACACTTTCCGTTCATTTGCAAATTCCTTACCGATAAATAGTTATCGGAAAATATAAATAATGCAATTAATTTTAAAACAATAGACGTAATTAATGTTATACTATTATGAATATTATGATATTTTCTGTTTATGATTATAATAATGCGTAGCTAGTCGCTACGATTAGTATGCTATTAAAGAGAAAAAATGTTTATTTTTGCATGAACGAGCAGAAAAAAAAAATTCGAATTGAAAGTTTTTACGTTGCCGGGATTGTGCACTGTAAAAAATAGAACCATCGAATGTATATCGTTTTCAAAAAGTTCGATAAGAGAACCCTAGAATATCGGCGGCAGCTCACGATCGAAAAAAAATTATTCATAAAATGCGCCGCCATGGATGTCAACGTACGGGTGTAATGTTTGTTCGCGTAGACGTCGAATAGGAATGGAATAACTGTCGCTGACATCACGTCAACGACAACACAAATATCTACCGGCTATCTGGCAATATTTTCAGCCGTAATATTTGTATTATACATGAAATGCGACAGTTGTGTATGGCTGCCCTTAAGCCTCTGCTGATGTAATTTTTGATAAATTTGTAGTTTTCGTGCGCGTACATCGAATGTTCATCAGCGAATATTGGGAATAAAAAAAGGAACTTTACGACATGAATCGAATTTTCTTGTTCAACTCAATATGAGGGTAATAATGAAATCGAACTCTTTTCTTGTTACCCCGTTAAAGGATGACGTACTATTCCGCTGGAAACGCACGCTTTATACTATCTGTCTGTTTCCGCCCCTTGCAGCTACATTCATTTCTCATTTCGAACACGTCGAACGCTCGGAGCAGAGCTCAACTCGAAAATAGAAGAGAGAAAATCAACTTATGAAAGCCCCGGTGTGCTCGATCTAACAAGTCCCTGTTTAAAGTTCAGAACTTAAGTTGCAAAGTGCCAATGACTCCGGCGCTTCTAAATTGTATTTAAACAAAATAGTTTATAACTAAGCAAATTCGTGACGGAAAGTTTATATATATATATAATATTATATTAATAACAATATAATTTAATTATTTTTTACTATAACTCGTTTTATATATGTGTGTGTGTGTGTGTGTGTGTGTGTGTGTGTGTGTGTGTGTGTGTGTAGTTAAAATACTACGAAGCGAATAATTAATTTTAATATTTATTTAACGCAAACATATTCAAATAAATATTAAAAAGTTTATATATTTTAAAACAAATAAAAGAGAAATAATCTCGCAAAATATATCTGAAATTTTTTTTTTAAATTTAGATGTTGCATTTGAAATGTGCAACTATATTGAAATAAACAAACAATATGTCTATGTATATTATATATTATTCTATTGTTAAACATTTTTAAACATTAACATATTAAACATTAAGAGAGAGAAAAACAGTGAGAGAAAGAGAAAGAGAGAGAGAGAGAGAGTATAAATGTTAAGATAGATATATAAACTCTTAAAAAAAAAAATCTTTAAATATTTTGTTTTTCTAATTGTGAAAACGCATATGATATGCAAACTTAGATAACCAAAAGGGAAAGATATTTCTGATTTTATTGATCAATATGTTATTATATTTGTACCCATATTTTACTTATGCCAGTCAAGATAGGTTCACATGAACGAATCTTTGTATTTCTGTTTCAGCACACGCTCACGGGCCACTGCGCAAAGGTGATGGCGGCGAAGTTTCTTGGCGAGCCGTCAAAAGTAGTTACGGGAAGTTATGATCGCACGTTAAAAATCTGGGATCTACGCAGCAAAGCATGTAAGTAAACGTTATTGTATCGATTAATATTGTAGAACAAAAAGCGGACATTTTTCGTAAAACATCCAGTAATAACGACGACCGCAAAATATTTCAGGAAATGCGTACTTTTTTTAATCGAAAGAAAAAAGCAAAAGTGGCGAGATTTCGATCCAAATCTTTCCACGGAATGATTTTAAGACGCTTTAATTAAACTAACTTATGCAAACCAATTCTCTGAGAAATTCATCTGCGTATATTTACTGACAATCGAGATCTCGCTCGATAATCCTGAAATCCGTGGTCTCTCGCACCGTGCAACAAAGATAAACATTTATAAAATGAACCAAAAAAATAAGCAGTAATTTTTTGCGCGACTGATATCAGGTTGCATAATATTAATATATTACATTCGTTCTTGTGAGTCGTAATAGAAGCGCACAAGATATGAGCTGAAAGTAATGTACAGCATTAAAGAGAGAGAGAGAGAGAGAGAGAGAGAGTGTGTGTGAGAGTGAGAGTGAGTGAGTGAGAGAGAGAGAGAGAGTGAGGGGGGGGGGGGAGAGAGAAAGCGGTAATCACGTTGCCCATTATCTCTATTAGTCGTTGCATAATGCAAATATACTTATGAGCGTTCCAAGATAATAAAACAAACGGCGAATCTGCATGATCATTCATATGTATATTCTGTTACGCGGCTGCACAATGGACCGCCACGCAAAATATGATGCCTGTAATGCCGCGGCTTGGTTCATACGAGGCGCGCCGGCATCAACGATGCCATAATGGCTAAGATTGAATAAAAACTACCCTCCCGTCTAACAGACGGTTCGTTGCGTCGTCGTATAAATGCGTAAGGTTAATTAAATCGATAAGATCTTCCCACGAAAGAACAGATTCTCTCCTCACTTGCTTCATCCTATAAACGATCTTTACCGGCACAGAAAACTCTTTATCTCTGGATATTGACGTTTTTAATAGACGATCCCTCCGGATAATGAGGGCGAGTTTTGGAAAAGGTTGCAACTTAATGCTTGAATAAATACGTTAAGAGATAAAAAAAAGTTTTCAGGAGATTGGCCGACTAACCCGGTAACTTTGTGACTTACGTGGCTTTAAGGTAAAAGTAACGCGTGAATTGATGATAACAAAGATGAATTTATGTAATCTAATGGATGATCTGTCACAGAAAAGAAAGGCGAGATTAATCATAAATCCATTACCCACAGGAAAGAGTACTACCTTAATTAGCTCTTAAACCAAGACGCGGGTTTATCCAGGGTAAGATGGTATAAGACGGTTATATTACTCAGACTTCTTCATCACATCATTAATCAGTTGTTAATGAACGTTATTTTACACCCATTAGAATTGATTTTTTTTTGTCTTGAAACAAAAGACAGAAAAGTTATAAAAATATTAAGGATATTTTTATATTGATTTTAATTAGTTCTCTTCAGCATTATTTTTGTTGCTAGATTATTTGCGAGTAATAAAGAAATATATAACAATATATATAAATGTTGAAAAATATTGGTGTGAAAACTAATGTAAAACTTAATATTAAAAGTAAATTAATGTAATATAAAAATACCATGGGGATTATAATCGACTACGACTTTTAATATTTCTAAGTATTTTTATGTATTAGGTGTACAACTTTGCTTCCGCCGTTTTTTTCCGAAATTCGAGGCTTTATTGTAAAAAACTGGTTATACATTTATGATTTAAAGTATTGTCCATCGCTGGCCACTACTTTCTCCCATCTTTCGGGCAGCGTACAAATCCCGCGTTGAAAAAACTGGTTATCTTTTGAAGCGATCCACGAATCGATCCAATTTCTTACTTCTTCATAAGACCAGAAGTGCTGGTCAACCAGGCCGTATGCCATTGATCGAAACAAGTGATAGTCAGAGGGAGCAACATCTGGAGAATACGGCAGGTGGGGTAGGACTTCCCATTTCAACGTTTCCAAGTATGTCTTGACCACTTTCGCAACATGGGGTCGAGCATTGTCATGCTGCAAAATCACTTTATCCAAATACAGAGCATGACCTTGGAGCCGTGAATATTCGGTTTGGCCGTCGACGTGGAAGCATGGCCGGGATATCCCCATGTTTTTCTGCGCTTGGGGTTATCGTAATGAACCCATTTTTAGTCCCCAGTCACAATGCGATGCAGAAATCCCTTCCGTCTTTGCCTTTCAAGCAACTGTTCACAAACAAACAAACGCCGTTCAACATCTCTCGGTTTCAACTCGTACGGCACCCAATTTCCTTGCTTCTGAAGTTTGAATACAGACGATATGGAAATTATATCTTTCAACAGGAGAATTCACGTCTACTAGGTCGGTCCGAACGCGTACAGTCACCATTAGAAGACCCTTTCGTATTAGAAAGTTCGCGCGCGTCGTGATCTAATTTCACACAAGCAACTCTGACAGACTGGAAACACCAAATGCGATTATTTGAAATTTGAGCCTTCCTTCACGAACATTATTGTGATCTTCGATGCTGGTAGATGTTGGACGAAAACTATACCTGTGCCTATATATGGATCTAATAATGTGGCTTTCGAGTCATTGAAAATCGCCACTGTAATGCGATAATTTCATGCATTCAAGAGCAAAAGTAATTTCCTCATTCCCAGAAAATTGTTTTCGAGTTGGAATGCGCGGCATCGTGACCAGCACTCGTGCGAAACGTGAGGATGCTCGATGCGCCTACCCATGGGAGATTTATCACGCTAATTGTCGAGCACTTGAAAGAAGAGCAGCGGTGTCCGATCGTCCGCTCTCCGATTGTCTACGCGAACTATCTCGTCGTATCGAATCCTAGTTCGTTCGGCCGTAAAATAGAGAAATCTTTCACCACTTTCGTCGGCGGGGGCTGCGAGGCTCTACGCGATAAGCGCGCCGCTTCGAAGACAGGGGCGAAAGTGATAATTTACAGCCGGATGAAGGTGGCCATTCTCTCGAGGTAAAGTATAGATCGCGTCCTTCGTACGAAATGTAGGGGCTTTAAGTGGCGCGAAAAATAAATTGGACAAGCCGCACGCAGGCGGCCGGACGCGGGCAGATAGCGGCCACGGAGGATCTCATTTCCCGTAAATGTATTCGGGATTTACATTCGGCGCCGAACTAATCTCGTGAAACGGTGCGCTCTATCTGAAGAACGGCTCGAGATATCGATTTACACTTCAGTCAACAGCGTTACAAGCTTCTGCGGTATGCGCGACCGGTAGCCGAGGAGGAATCGTATTGACAAAGGATACAAAGCTACGGACTGCTTAACACGACGCAGCACACACAGACAGTATTAATTTGCAAGGTCTAGGATCGCCTTAAACCTGGCCTTTAGTTACGGTTCGCTCACAACACAGAGTCCACGTAATAATAATTTACGCCATTAACCAACGTACGCGAATGCTCAAATTTCGATAAATCGCATTGCATCAAAGAAAAGCATTGTTATTTTTCAGTTGAAATATAATTAATGACGAAAACAAAGTTATCTATATTGTACCTTGACTATCTGTAAGATACGTGATAAATGCAATAATTCGTTTCCAATCGTTTTCGATAAATAGATATTGAAATATATGATAACGATAAGAACACGATATTATTTACATTAAAATATAAAATAAAATATATATAGTTTCAAGTTGTATGTCACCTTCATTAATCAATGATGAACGACCATACAGTTTATGTATAGCAATCGATTTCACTTATTGAGAATTGATGCACAACTGATACAAATTTTAATATCGATTACTGTTGATTTACTATTATTTTATGATCTTGAAATAAAAAATGTATTTAGTGACACAAATTCGTCAATGTGCGGTTATTGCAGTAAACTATCAGATTACTAACTTATTACAATAAAATATCAGTTATATTCGAAGCGACTCGTTTTTTCATGCCTTTGCTTTTTATAAATTTTTTACATTTTATATATTTTAATTATATGTATCTTACATATTTTATATATTTTATCTATATTATTTTATACATATTTTTAAGAAATAAAACATACAACATCCAGTACTGTAATTATTGTAATGCAATTGCATGTAAAGAGAATTGATGGTATTATAGTTGTCCTTGACACAAATTTGAGAATTATATGTCCCTCATATTAAGTTAAGACCAAAACCGTAAACTGCAAAGTTTCCTACGACGGAAACGACTAGAGAACTGTATTACTTTGCGATATGCAAGCCCTTATGAAACATGAAGAGAGCAATTTCGAAAAGTGTATCTCCTTAAATCAAGTCGCGTAAAGTGATGCAGCACCGGAGTTGTAGCGGACGATAATTAATGTAAGAAGTCGAGCGGCATCACAAATCGTTGTCCCGACTGAGTTTGCGGCCGACCCATCAAACTTACTACATAAATACAAAACTTTTTCGTCGCGGACGTTACCGTGTACACTACGAAGGGACGAGCGAGAGGATTTGTCTTATTTTTTTATGCAATGCAGATAACAACGCGGAGCGCGCGTGGAACGTAATTAACCTGTGGCTTAACTTCGTCACGTAATTTATAGCTGTCGTCTCGCCGGGTCATCCAGTAGCCGAGTCTAAGTTAATTGTGCGCACGCGGATACCTGCGTGGATACACAGGTACTTCCGTTTTAGCCTCGCGGCGGCTTTTGTTTCTCGTTGTAAGCCGTGATCCTACAGCAAAATAGCGAAAACCGCGCTATCAAGGAAGACCGGCGGAGAACAGGGGGGGAGGTGGTTGTACAAAAGTTTCGCACAAATAAATCTCCGAACGCGCGAGGTGCGCACAATGGGGAAAGCGGCGCTGAAAGGGCGTTTAAGCGTGAATTATTGTTTACCCGCGGACGCTTTAAGACAAAAAGGACGCTTAAAGTGGATCAGCTGTTTTCTATCGCGCTATTATCTACCTCGCCACGTCGCGCAATTTCGTGAACGCCTCGAGCGACTTTTCTGGACACAATCATGCCACGGACAGACGGATTCCGCACCGCACATCGCACCGACGAAATAGTACCCCGTGTTCGTCCCGATGACTGAAAAGATTGCATTAACTGTTCTCTAAATTTCCGAGAAATTAATCCTTGTCACTTACTTTTGCTATGATTCTTAGAAAATAATTTTTGTTTCTTTAACTTTAATATATAATAAATATATGTAAGATTGTTAATCTTATGCTTCCTTAATCTAATCGTCTTTATGCTAACTATTAAGTACGCAGAAACAAATAACCTTTTTTATATTTTTATTAATGTTAATCTAATGCAGTTGCGAAATAATTAAGTTTAATTTCAAGAAATAATTAAAAATGATATTTCACAAAATTTTTTCTAAAAATTAATCTAAAATATAACTGAGAGAATCTAAAATGAAATATTGCTCGATATGCCTTATAATTATATTAAATTAACATACGTCTCTCTATATAAAGCAAATGTGCATAATATGAAATACATATTAATGCGAAAAGCATGAGGAAGAGCAAATTAACATGAAGCTTTTATCCGAAAGCTCTTATCATGGTTGACTGTTGAATAAGACTTACATGCAAAGCCGGTAATCCTTTATGCCTCGTTTGAGGGATAGATGTACGTTAATAGCATATATATATATATATCATGCACTTATCTGAATAATACATTTGGGCTTAAGGACCAGTACATAAAGGACTATATTATGGATGAGGATATACTTCGTGCGACATGTTGCAAAAATTGACGTTTCAAAATTACCATTAGAAGCTGAACTAAAAATAAAATTGTTCGTTTTAATAGCATAAAGTCACGAGTCTTGTGATTTATGATACATAGTAAAGCTGTATATAATAAATCAGCTATATTTTTTAACTAAAAATATTCTGTACATTATTTGTCTTTTTTGTTTATACTGTCATTAAGTAAAATTATCATCGTACAAATAAATGTTAAATTATGTTATGTTAAAATATAACGCTAAAATATTAAAGAAATGGATTTACAGGAAGGACGACTTTTATTATCTACGATGAAATGTCATATTTTTTATATGAAAATTAGCATCATCTTGTAATTGTAGGAATATTTTAAAAATAATGATTAAGTTAGGCTAACCATTTTGTCATTTTGCCATCATCGTCATTACAATTCAAATCAACAATTCTGAAATCATTAGATGGAAATATTCGCGTATTATTATTTCGAGTCCACTACAATAGAAGTCTATATGCGTTTTGCCGCACGATACCTCATTCACGCAAAAGAGATATGGTTTATACGCTAATAATTTTGCGTCGATGTTTATTAGCCATATGCGTCTCTCGAGTATTTTACTGAATTGTGATAAACGGTGCGTTGCGGATATAGTGCGGTTACTTGTTGCGAGGTAAGACTGCTGTGAACCGTGCGATGTTAAAGTGAAGTAGGAATTGTCGACAAATTTCTCTTTATGCACGAATGCACTTTGGAAGAAATTTTATTGCTTCCAGAGAAGTGCCCTACTCACCGCGTTTGAAGCTTGTGAAGTACTTTCTGCAGAACTTGTATGTCGAACTACGGGGATTGAGTATACGCCGCGCGCAAATATCAATGCCGTATATATGTATATCTTCATCTGCATATACAACAATGCCACAATAAGAAAATACTTACGAAATGCCAAAAAAGCGAATACATTGCATCTTGTATAATGACATTTGAAAATTTGGGTACCCGACGTGTTACTATTATGTCACATATATTCGATTTGATATTCTCTTCTGTAAAAAAAAAAAAAAAAATACTGCTGAATTATCATATAAAACAGATAAACGAATATTACAAACATTAAAATAAAACAAATTAAAAAAATTAATTATCATCAAAGTTTCCTACAGACTTACTAAAATGCAATATTTGAAATTTCAATAGAAATTAGATATATATTTGCTTTTCACTGATTCAGAAATTATGCGACGCGATTGAAAGACAATTTAACGCGCTATCGTAATTGAATACGCGCTCTTGCAACATGTAGAGTTTGTGAATGAAGAAGATTTCCTCCCCTAGCATGTTACACTGTCGTGAAGTAATTGGAATCCGTAATACCATCTTCGGAATAGAAACGGTGGACACCAGCCGCTCTTCGACATCCCGCCGTAGAAACTTTGACGGACTAATCGATCGAGCGATAAATCACATTTGATTTAATGTGCAGCCGCGGTAAAGTAAAATGGAAACTGGCACGCGGATTCATAATTGCACAAAGGCCGAGGTTAAGGAAAGGTAGACTAGAAGGGCGGTAAGGGCGGACGATCCTAAGCGGAAAACTCGTAATTTATCCTGTTTTCAGTTTTGACGCCGGGCGGTTTCCGCGTCGCGCGCTAGCGATTTCCAAGAGGTTCGCGGAAACATGGCGACGCGAATGTCATTTCCCGACGTAAATTAAGTTTGAAATCCTGCTTATTTCAGCGTGGAGATCGATGAGAGCTGCCGCTAGGTACAACTACAGTTTGAAAGGGGAAACCAGCCGTGATTCACATTCGATACAACTGTTAACTCGCTCCGCTTAAAGTCGGCGTGCGTATATGCAATTCGGGAGGACGTAATTCTATTACTACCGTGGAATGCTCAAATTAAATGCAGAAAGCTTTCTGCATGCATTTAATTCGATCATACTGTTATCCTTGCAAGGCGAATTTTACATTTGAAGGCTTGCGCATTAAAATATTGTATCTAAAGTATGAACAAAAATGCACCGATATTTTTTTGGTAATCACACACGAACAATTTGAACATAACTAACACAAAACATTAGGTATATAATAGATTAATACATTTTATAAAAATTTAAGTTTTAATAATCGCATTGCATCTTGTATAATGACATTTGAAAATTTGGGTACCCGACGTGTTACTATTATGTCACATATATTCGATTTGATATTCTCTTCTGTAAAAAAAAAAAAAATACTGCTGAATTATCATATAAAACAGATAAACGAATATTACAAACATTAAAATAAAACAAATTAAAAAAATTAATTATCATCAAAGTTTCCTACAGACTTACTAAAATGCAATATTTGAAATTTCAATAGAAATTAGATATATATTTGCTTTTCACTGATTCAGAAATTATGCGACGCGATTGAAAGACAATTTAACGCGCTATCGTAATTGAATACGCGCTCTTGCAACATGTAGAGTTTGTGAATGAAGAAGATTTCCTCCCCTAGCATGTTACACTGTCGTGAAGTAATTGGAATCCGTAATACCATCTTCGGAATAGAAACGGTGGACACCAGCCGCTCTTCGACATCCCGCCGTAGAAACTTTGACGGACTAATCGATCGAGCGGTAAATCACATTTGATTTAATGTGCAGCCGGGGTAAAGTAAAATGGAAACTGGCACGCGGATTCATAATTGCACAAAGGCCGAGGTTAAGGAAAGGTAGACTAGAAGGGCGGTAAGGGCGGACGATCCTAAGCGGAAAACTCGTAATTTATCCTGTTTTCAGTTTTGACGCCGGGCGGTTTCCGCGTCGCGCGCTAGCGATTTCCAAGAGGTTCGCGGAAACATGGCGACGCGAATGTCATTTCCCGACGTAAATTAAGTTTGAAATCCTGCTTATTTCAGCGTGGAGATCGATGAGAGCTGCCGCTAGGTACAACTACAGTTTGAAAGGGGAAACCAGCCGTGATTCACATTCGATACAACTGTTAACTCGCTCCGCTTAAAGTCGGCGTGCGTATATGCAATTCGGGAGGACGTAATTCTATTACTACCGTGGAATGCTCAAATTAAATGCAGAAAGCTTTCTGCATGCATTTAATTCGATCATACTGTTATCCTTGCAAGGCGAATTTTACATTTGAAGGCTTGCGCATTAAAATATTGTATCTAAAGTATGAACAAAAATGCACCGATATTTTTTTTGTAATCACACACGAACAATTTGAACATAACTAACACAAAACATTAGGTATATAATAGATTAATACATTTTATAAAAATTTAAGTTTTAATAATCGCACGGAGACAAACAATTTTATTCTGTTGGCATTTATTACAGCATTCATTGATGATAATTTTTCAATGTATATATATATATTATACAATTTATGCATACATAAAATTATTGACACTTTTTACTTAAATGAAAAGAAAAACGGTTTATTATTATTATTATTTTTAAAAATCTCTTTTTCTCTTACTCTTTAGTAAAATATATCGTATCAAAGTAATCGAACGGCGAAAGTGCAATTTAATTGCCTATACGAATAGATCTTTTAAAGATGAAAAATTTTATGTTGTGCAGGTATAGAGACGAAATTTGCTGGATCTAGTTGCAACGACCTCGTAACTTCAGACGGTGCTGGCTCCACGATAATCAGTGGTCATTTTGATCAAAGAATCAGGTTTTGGGATACGAGAGCTGAATCTAGCTCAAATGACATTCTACTGGAAGGAAAAGTTACATCCTTAGATTTGTCCCGTGGTAAGTGAAGTTACATATATCAAATTACAGAGTTTGTACTTTAATAAAAAGTAAAGCAAAACAATTGCAGAACTACAATAAAAAAATAAAGCAAGATATCAACAAGCTCAATTGTATTAATTTAGTCAATTGAAGACTTTATTGAATATTAATTGAACATATTATACTTTCTAAAGAAAATTTTTTGTCTTTTCCTCTATTACAGAGTTTAAGCGAATATCATCAAAATTGGAGAATAAACGTAGTATGTTATATATTTTGGAAAGATATTTAATACAAATTGTAATACAATATGAGATTACGTTTACTATATATAATATTAAAGTAGAATATTGATTCTATATTATGTAACTATTGTATGTGTAATTTGCTTGTGCATTTTATAATATCGATTAAGGTATGTCAAATGTATGTGAAGGAATAGCTGATTATTTTTTTTCATTATTGGGGGGTATTTAAGTATTTAAATCAAACATACGGTTTAACAGAAATATTGAAACGCCATGAAAACGTTGATATATCGGTAATTACATTGTATTTTATTTAAATTGCTTATTTTGTTTATTTTGTAAAGAACATGAATCATATTTTTAACTAAATTAGATTAATAATGGTTTGTACTATTACATGTCTCTATTTATATTGTGTATTTGAAAAAATCCAATATATTAATCACAGTTGTAAAAATATAGATTTTTGTAATTTTACATTATTAAAAACGGTACAGATATTTTGATTATTATAGAACTCGAATATAATCATTTGAGAAATTTCATTTATCAAATTTATAATTATTTCAGAGAGTGTAAACTGCAAATTAAACGAACAACAGAAATTCAACATTGAGAAATAAAATTCAACATTGAGAAATAAAATTTTACTTTTCCAAATTGATGATAGATTTTATATTGTTATTATAGGGTATTTATACGTAACACGTACCTATCCATTCAACAATTATAATGAGGCGAAACAAGACACTAATTGGCATTTCACGTCAACTGCTGCACGAGGCATTTTGTTCTGATAATTCTGTTTCGTTATGCAAACAATGCTATTTTTTGTTTTTACTTTTTATTGCAACATTTTAATGATGCGAATGAATTGGCTCGTGCGCGATTCTGCAATATTCTCAAAGCAGTCATATCAGATGCATTTTGTTCATTCAAAAGTATTTCATACAGACATATCGTCCTATTGCATTTCATTAATTGTCAATATTGCCAAAATACAAATGTGATGAATTCAATGAAACAGTATCTTATTCTAATTTTTAATTTTTGCAGTTAAACAAATATATCGCGGCTTTCTAGTATTTTTCGTCGTTTATTAATTACATTTGTTTGAAAAAGATCTGAAAAGAGCCCAAATATTTCTGCGTTAGGTATTTCAGATCAATATGATATAAAAGAAGATTAATAAAAACGGATTATTTCGATGCATGGTGAACTACAATACATACAAGTTTATTGCGCTGTACTAGATTTTTTAATGTCTAGAGATAGAATTGGTGGTATTGTGTATATTTCGTAGATGTATTTTTATTAAATAATTACAATATGTCCGAAATGTACGAAATATTTGTTTAGCTAAAGTTGTAACTCCGCAAACATTTACGCAAACAATTTAAATATTATTCAATCATAGACGATCGCGAATCATAAAGGCATCTATTTGATTTCAGACGCAAATTACCTTTTGAGTTGCGTGAGGGATGACACGGTGAAATTGATTGATCTACGAATGAAGAAGATTGTTGGGTCCTTCAGGTGGGTTATGTGTGCATTTATCGCATATATACGCGACTAGAATATTAAAATGGTAAATCATTGTATTTTTATTTTATTTTACAGTGCTGACGGCTTCAAAGTGGGATTCGATTGGACAAGAGCCGCTTTCAGTCCTGACGGGCAGTACATAGCGGTTGGTTCCGCAGACGGTTCCGTCTTTATCTGGTCTATAGCGACGAATATGATCGAAACAATACTAAAGGGACATACGTAAGTAGATATTTTCTATTAATTGCTTGTTATGCGTAACTGAAATTCGAAAAATTAAGTTAAATCCTTTTCTACTAAAAAGTACAATGATCCTTTACAAGAAGACTTAACAATTAGATGTTATTAGTCTTATTTTAAAAGATAAAAATGAATTATAAAATTTTAACAGATAGCTATATGGTTCTGTTAATCACATTCTTATTCGTGCATGGTTTAATATATCATAATATTTAACCGTTGCAAAATGTATCCATTAATACAGTTTTATCGCACTTATGGTCTGCATATTTATATATTCTTGACAAAATATTTAATTTTCTGCCCTAGAGATAAAAAATTGCAATCCTCTTCTTTCATATAGATTGGAATATGCAATATCGATATTAAAGCTCAGATCATTATAAAATGGATGTTCCAAAAAAAACTACTAAATTTTATATGACTTAATGGTCTATGCTTGCCAACGATGAAAAAGTATATTAAAATGCGAAATATTGTTTCCGATATTATAGTAGATCGAATATTAATTTACGAAGACTAATCCGAGATATTGAAAACAGAGCTGCTGCGTCAAACTTTCATAAAGCATCTTATTGTTGCTTTTTTATCGCAGTCTCTTTATTTCATACTCTATACTCTCATCTACTTGATGCTATATTATTATATTAAACTCTATGCGCGGTGCTTGCAAGTATAAGTATACAATTAAATTTAACGTTTCCATAATCGCTTTATTAATTTTCTATTGTCAATACTACGAACGGCCAGGGATGATCTAGAGATTATTTTTTTGTAATCCTAGTGCCGCATTTGTGACGACATTTCTCAGCCGCTCCAACGTGCGACTTTATTTGCGGTCACAAAATCGATAGCGTTAACCCGCTGTTGCCCTTCGCACGTTCTATTTTGGTGTATCATCGTTATAATTTATTTCTCTCTGCCCCCTTTTCTTTATCACGAAATACGTTTTGACCCGTTTGATGGATGCGAATTTCTCGTTTAAATTCGCTCGCTAGAGCACTAAAGCGCCCGTAATTTTAGGAGGCACCTTCGAGTGCTCTGCATACCCACCTGACACGAAAAGTTCCTGAAGTACTTCGGTCCTCTGGTCCACCACACGCAGCACATGTATACGCAGACACATATACATACACGTGTAAATGCATGCACACGAAGAAAAAAATTTGCGCTGGGAAAAGACTAGAGGGGATCTAAGAAAATATTTCGACGTGACCCGATTTCCGCTCCAACTTTTGCGCTGTATATTCACGTACACATATTCGCTCGTATCTATACATCGCCGGAAGACTTTGTGATATTGCGAATTTATACGGCACCCTGGATGCTTCCAACTCTTGCTGGCATCTACGTCGACTCTCGCCATTGAATATGTCACTCCGAATGACCGAAGACTCGTTTACTGCCTCTCGGGGGAACACGAAAATCCGTGGAAAGAGAAAGAACCGCGGCGCGGATGCAACGAGAAATGAAAGTGGCACATAAGTAGGCAGCAACATATCTCGTCCGCGTGCTTTTAGCGCCCTTTCACCTACACCAACCACGTAATTGATGGACGCGTTAATCGGTGGTATCTCACGGAGAATGCAATGTAAGGATCTCTCTTGTTGTCGAGGTGCAGAAAATCGATATTTTTTGAACACTAAAAACGTCAATTATGCTATTATGAGCAGGGACGGTTAAATACGATATTATTCGTAAATTAATAGCAAGCGCGGTTAACAATATCCAGGTATCTCGCATACCTCTGCACAATAGCTAACAATTCATAAATCGGTGAACAATTGAAACGCCAGCTTTTTGTGTTAAAGAGATTTTATCAACAAAATTTTCAACATTATTTTAACATCAATTTTTGTTGAAAGATATTTATTTTAATTTAATGTGTGTGTGTGTGTATGTGTGTGTATATTTTATATATAATTATGCTTATTTTAGCATATTTATGTTATTATGGAGAAAATAATAATTTTTTATTGATACTTTATCAATAGCCAAAAAAAATACTGTTTAAATTAAAAAAATATTGTCGGCCACATTAAAAGGATGAAAAAGGGTGATATTGGTGAGAAATAATTCCTACGTGGTCGTTAAATGGCGATAACGTTTAATTATTCTCAATTGAAACATGACGTGCTTCGTACCAATCATACTATCACGTTCCCGGTAGCAGCAATTAGTTATTACCCTCATGTTGGAACGTTTACGAACATAAACGGTTTAATAGTTCATAATTACGGCAGCGTATACGCCAATATTAATGTATTTTCAAA